CATGAAATGTTTAGCTATGTATATACACACAAAATAAAGAATGGCCAATAAAAATAAGGGCTAATACCACTGAGAAACCCGAACTATTAACTTTGTGCCATTTGTATTCTAAAGTATCCGATATGACAATTGTGTCTCAATGTATAATAGTTATGTGTCACTTATTTCCTGGAAATTTTGTTGACCGTTATAGATAAACAATGTGGCAGCCACGTAGATGCCACGTCATTGACACCTCATTTTTTAATTCAAAATTAAATAAAAAATAGAATTAAAAAGTCATTAAAAATAATTTTAAAAACTCACTTTTTCCTTATTGCTTAAAAAAATAATATAAATAATTGACAGCCTCTTTCGGCTTTCCCCTCTCTGAATCCGCCACTCCGGATCTTTTCCCTCTCTTCGATTCCACTACTCCGGCGAATTTAGCCAAACCTTCTCGCCGACTTCCTGAACTGAATCGTCGCCACTTCCTGATGAAGAAACCATCCTTGTTCGACTCCCTATGAAGAAGTCGCCGGATGCAGAGGAGGAAGAAAAGCCTCGCCCTCTGGTGTTTTTAATCCCTAAGAACCCTAAGAAGGAAGAAGAGGAGGAAGGGGAAGAGGAAGGGATTGTCAATTCTGCGTCAATTCCTTCGGCGACGAAGATTTCTTCGCCGAAAATCTTCAACGCGTTTCAATTCATCCCGTCGATGTCGTCGGGATTCGACCTGTCGAGTCTATTCGAGAGCACTCGACGGCGGCGAGGGTCGATGTTCACTTCAAGGTGCTCGGTAGTGGCGATTATGGAGCGGATGGAAGGGTTTGCGAAGGGGATTAATTTTAGGGTTGGGAGGGTGAAGGATTTCAAGATGAGCTTGAAGAGGGGAACATAAGGGAGGAAAGGTAGGCTCCAGCTCAGCGAACCACATCTGAGCTTGATGGAAGCACTGATTCCCTGTGCCAGACGGAGATCTAACCACCAATTGTCGCCGAAGGAAGAGCTACCGACGACGGTGGATCTGAACGCAGAATCTGGCTTGGGATTGAAGGGGTGGGTTAATCCAGCTTGGGATTGAAGAAGAGAACGAATAATTGAGAAAGAGAACGATTAATTGTGTCCCAAAAAATAATCCACAAATCATATATGTTTTTGTTTTTTATTTTTGTAATTTTTTATATGAAAAATAATTATAAATTAATATTATAAATTCCACTTCATATGCCACATCAGCGCTTACTGGATTTTCTGTTAAAAACTAACGGTCAACGCCGGTCAACTCTAACGGAGAAATAGTTTAGGACACAATTGTCATATTGGATACTTTAGGACAAAAATGGCACAAAGTTAATAGTTCGGGTTTTCTAGTGGTATAATCCCTAATAATAATGATGATGAGAAAATAATAATAGTTATTATTATTGTTGTTCCTAATCCACGGTTGTCACCCTTCGTACGTAACCGTCAATCCAACTATTCATGTATTGTGAAAAATAAATTTTTAATACATATATGTAAGATAAATTTTATTTCAGTCATTAAATTCTTAATTACTACCTTATTTGTACATGTATCTAAAAAACGTCTAAAACACCTCAAACCGACCAAACCCCGATCACACTATTAAATTTCAAACTCTTAACTGAACCGGTTTGACAACCTTTCCCATTAGCCTCGAGGTCGTGATTTTGAAGTGGGTGATAAGAGAGAGTGAGAGACATACTCATTGTTGGAATTAACTTAAAATTCATTGCTTTGTTTGGGCCAATGGCCTTTATTCTCATGGCCTCTCCTTTTATTTCCTTTTTAGCTTTCCCCAACTTTAAGAGCATATATTTGTTTCCTTTTCTTTGGAAACCTTTTTGCATATCCACCATTTTTTTTATTACCCATATCCACCATTTATAATTGAGCAACTTAAGCTTTTTCAAAAGCTCCCATAATCTAACCACAAATCTTTCTCGATCAAGATTTGGGGATTTTATTTGTCTCCCTAACTTCTATGTTATCTCCTCAAATAATGATAAATCATAAATCATTTGGTTATTCCTTGCAGGAATACTTATGGATCTTTTGATGAGATCTATGTTGCTCTTGATTCTTTATAACATCCAATAAATTTGACCGGACTGGGCCATAACAGCTTTTGGGTTTTTTTTTGGTTTTGTTTACAGAACATTTTGTGTTATTTAAGTGGGATGGTGAAAAGACTATTACATCTATGAATTTTTTATTCTTACTCATAGAATTATGAGTAAATAGTAAATACAATATATTAGCCACTAATATTATGAAAATGGGGAATTATAGCCATAATGATGTAAATTCAAATTATTAGTCATAACTATTGTTGCGGGTCAAGATATGGCTAACTGCTCGTTACTATTATTGAATTTTTAACGGAGAAGGCCACGGCAGCAGCCACATCATTGGCCACGGCAGCAGCCACGTCGGACTGCTTTTAATTTATAACTTTAAAACAAAAGAGTTTATTTAGCATAATTACTAACGGAATTGTTAACAGAGATTTAACGTTTGGCTAATAATTTGAATTTCCATAGTTGTGACTATAATTCCCCGCTTCATAATAGTTGTGGCTAATATATTGTATTTACCCTAGAATTATTGATCTAACAACACTAAATACAAATTATTAGCCAAACCTTGAAAGTGATGCAAAATAATAGTAAAACCTTTAGAAATACAACATAATAGCCAACCATTAAGTATATTTTAATAATTCTGTTAAATAATAGTGAGCTGCGTATATATAAAGATGAGGTGGAAGATATGTTATGACGTGGCACTGTCACATCAGCCGGTCAAGTGTTGGTCACAATTTTGTCTCCCCGCGTTCTCTTCTTTCTTCTCATCCACTCTCCAGCGAACGCAACGGCTACCCTCTCCTTCCCATCATATCATACTAATCTTCTTACACTCTGTTTCCGAAGGAAGGGAGAAAAATAGAGGAGAAAGAAAATTTGGAGGGGAGAGAAATGGAGGGAAAGAAAAAGTGGAGGGGAGGGAAAATGTTGTTTTATGGATGAAAATGAAAAGAAAGGTGTGAGAGAAAAAGTATATTGGGAAGTGTGATAGATATGTTATTTTATTGATTATGTAATAGTAAAATAATTTAATTATGTCTTAATATCATTTTTATTACTTCTTAATAATGAATTTAATATATTCTTTTGTCTAATTTGGTTCACTATTAAAAAAAATTCAATTTAAAATCTAATTCATTTTAACTTCATTAAAAAAAAATCCATAAATTTTGGATTACTTTTGTCGTACAATATGACAATCATTCTGTAAAATTTATGTGATCAAGTACCGAAACATATTATACTCAATTTGGTGTCATCAGGTCCAAACGTCGGTTTGGTCAGGTACGATCTTGTAGAACCACTCGTACGGTACGATTATATAATTTCATAATTATTGACGTATTATTAAATTTATTATTAGTTAAAAACCAAAGTAAAATACTCGTACATATTTTATATGTAACTTACTCATACAATATTTTAATGATTATGATTTTAACCATGTTAATGTAATAATATATTATTATTGTTATTAGAAACACCCAAATGCCCAACCCATTCCCTCTTTCCCTTGCTTTCTCTCCAAATTGGAGGGATGAGTGTAATAGTAAAACTTTCCCTCCAATTCCTTCCCCTTCCTCCTGTAGCAACCTTCAAAAACAAAGGAAAGCTTCTTGGGACATGTGCTTTCCTCCCACTTTTTCCCTTTCCCTCCCTTTTCTTCCTAAAGAAACAGAGTGTTAAAGAATCGTCATATACGGACCGACTTGTTGTTTGCAATGCAGCTTTGAACGACAAAAATATCTTCGATCTAAGTGGTTAAAGTTTAGTTATTTTTTACCAAATAAAATCAATCATTAAAAAAATATTCAGGGACGCAAAAATGTGAAAACCTTATTAATTAATTATCATGATAAAAAAATTTACTTCCTCTTGGTTTCCTTCTTCAGTCGCCCTACATTTTCCTTTCTTTATTTTCACATTTGCTTACTTCATCCAACCCTGATCAGTCTAATATTTATATTTATTCTAATTTGCAAGTATGAAAGGATCCATAAATGAATCCACAACGGGTTTATAGAAATTAACAATTAAATCATTAACCACTAACTCTCTAGCTCAATGTCCAGTTCGATTGGGACAACATAGGTATTTTTCTACTTAGTAGTAGGTCATTGTTTGCTTCCTTAGTATTTGAAGGAGTGAAATTTTAATATGAGGGGTTGTTTGCTTCATGGATTTAAAAATGATGGTTTTGTAATTTAAAAACTCAAGGATTTATCAATGATTTTAGGCATTATGGATTTGTAACAATTCTTCGTTTGTTGAGATGTTTCATCATAGATTTAAAGGTTTGAGATTTAGAACTTACAGTACAAATTACAATACTATCATTTTTCTATTTGTTTGTCATGTTTATGATATGTACACAAAACAAGGACAATACGTACTAATAAACATAATGTTGTCACAAAGACAATATAATAATAAATAGAATAATTTTGTTTAACTTTTAACGTAACATATATCGGTTACCAATTATTTGTCCTCCTTTTCAAAAGTAACATATAACAACATATATTAGAACCGGAGAACAAAGAATTATATGTTCCATGAAAAGGTCAAAGGAAACTAGAACACAAGAAAGAGTACAAAAAATCTAACTCATGTTTGTACATTAAATGAATATTTATATTATTCCTTTGTTGTGAATTAATTTATTATTGGGCTAATACCACTAGGAAACCCGAACTATTAACTTTGTGCCATTTGTGTCCTAAAGTATCCGATATAACAATTGTGTCCTAAACTATTTCTCCGTCAGAGTTGACCGGCGTTGACCGTTAGTTTTTAACAAAAAATCCAGTAAGCGCTGATGTGGCATATGAAGTGGAATTTATAATATTAATTTATAATTATTTTTCATATAAAAAATTACAAAATTACAAAAATAAAAAACAAAAACATATACGATTTGTGGATTATTTTTTGGGACACAATTAATCGTTCTCTTCCTCGATTATTCGTTCTCTTCTTCAATCCCAAGCTGGATTAACCTACCCCTTCAATCCCAAGCCAGATTCTGCGTTCAGATCCACCGTCGTCGGTAGCTCTTCCTCCGGCGACCACTGGCGGTCAGATCTCCGTCTCGCACAGGGAATCAGTGCTTTCATCAAGCTCAGATGTGGTTCGCCGAGCTGGAGCCTCCCTTTCCTCCCTTCTGTTCCCCTCGTCAAGCTCGTCTTGAAATCCTTCACCCTCCCAACCCTAAAATTAATCCCCTTCGCAAACCCTTCCATCCGCTCCATAATCGCCACCCCCGAGCACCTTGAAGTGAACATCGACTCCCGCCGTCGTCGAGTGCTCTCGAATAGACTCGATAGGTCGAATCCCGACGACATCGACGAGATGAATTGAAACGCGTTGAAGAATTTCGGCGAAGAAATCTTCGTCGCCGAAGGAATTGACGAAGAATTGACAATCCTTCCTCTTCCCCTTCTTCCTCTTTTTCCTTCTTAGGGTTCTTAGGGATTGAAAACACCAGCGGGCGAGGCTTTTCTTCCTCCTCTGCATCCGGTGGCTTCTTCATAGGGAGTCGAACAAGGATGGTTTCTTCATCAGGAGGTGGCGACGATTCAGTTTAGGAAGTCGGCTAGAAGGTTTGACTAAATTCGCCGGAGTAGTGGAATCGAAGAGGAGAAAAAGATCCGGAGTGGCGGATTCAGAGAGGGGAAAGCCGACAGAGGCTGTCAATTATTTATATTAATTTTTTAAGCAGGTAAGATAAAGTGAGTTTTTGAAATTATTTTTAATGATTTTTTAATTTTAATTTTATTTAATTTTGAATTAAAATGATTTGTCAATGGCGTGGCATCTACGTGGCTGCCACATTTTTGCCATGTCACCAAAAGTAAACATTAAGTTGACCATCGTTTGGTTAACCATTATCTATAACGGTTAACAAAATTTCTAGGACATAAGTGACACATAACTATTATACATTGGGACACAATTGTCATATCGGATACTTTAGGATACAAATGACACAAAGTTAATAGTTCTGGTTTCCCAATGGTATTAGCCCTTATTATTATTATTTATTAGAATAAAACCCTAAACTTTCAGGAGAGCAATATGGGGGCAGCCATTTAGCTTTAACTCAAATCCCATTCTCTTCCTCTCAATGTTGATGCTCGATACAAAAGAAAGTTGGGATGGACATGGGAGCAGCAACGTGCCCCACCTCTCTTCCAACCTCCTTGACCCGCACAAAACGATGTGGCCGATTCCCGCCGTTCATCGCAGCAAACATAAATCCGGATGGACCTAGAGACTACGAGTTGCGGTGGAGATAAGTTGAATTACGCCTTCCAATTTATAGAAACCTCATGGTTTGTGACGAGCGGGGCAGTGCGCTGATGGGACTCAAATTTGTAGGGAATAAAATTCCCTTCTGTCAAGCAGACTGGAGAATGTGTGTAGTAAGGGTTTGCTTAGGGAAAGACCTTAGGAAGTAACGACGAGACTGACCCCTTCTCCCTCACCAGATTGAGGAAGGGTTAACGGGCTTGTTTTTCGAGAAGAGGCAGAATGAGGCGAGCCGCCGTACCAACGTGGACAAGGTCTCAAGAAGCTCAGCGAGAAGTTAGAGTGAGAGTTTGTTCAGTTAGTTATGTTTATGATTATGAGGATAAATGGAGGTTCAAAGTTTAATCTTTATTGACCATGTTTTTTAGGTCGCCCACGTGTTTAGGGCATCGCATTTGATGTTGTTCTTGGAAATGATTAAGCTGTATTTTAATTTTGAGCTTTGTTTTTAACAGGCTCCGGAGCAATAAGTATTTCGGTTGAGTAAAAGTATCGGGACGTTTCAATTTGGGACATCCCTCTCTCTCAGTCAGGGTCATGGATCTGGAGGAAATTGCTTAGTTCAAGAGGATGGTTCCAATTCAGATTTGTTGTGGATGCTAAAGGTGGGGTGCTCTGGGAAGGGAAACTGATGCCACGTTTCTCAGTACACTAGGTGTGGCTGTCAATCAGACCCCAAAAGGCTAAGGTGGATTGGTGGAAGATAATATGGAACAAGTTTGTGATTCCTAGAAATAGGGTTATTACTTGGTTAATAATTTTGAACAGGAGCACTACGAAAGACAAGCTCAAACAATGGGGGAGGACTTCTGACTCACTGTGTGTATTATGCAAGGCTGAGGAAGAATCTCGAACTCATCTTTTCTGCTACTGCTCTTATTCTCTTGAGTTTTTTGCAATTGTTTTTGGCTCTAATTGGTGGCCAAGTACTTGGGATGCACTCATAGACTGGATTCAAAGAAGAAACAACAAGGAAGGCAGCAAGGGTATGGTTTGGAGTGCGATTTGGTGCTGGTGCATAAGTGCAGTATGGAAGGAGAGATGCGCTCGGATTTTTAAGGGGGAGCAACGAGCTGTTAAAGAGATTAAAAGGCAATGGAGAGCTGACTTCAACTATTTTGTAATGGGGAAGCTGGATTTCCAGCTAGAAGTGCAGAAAATTCCTAACTTGAGTAGCATATTGTATTCAGAATAAAAAGTTTTGAAATGTTGTTTTGGTTTGTCTCTGTACGCAGAACAGCAGAGCATTGCTCTTGGTTTTTGGAGGACCCTGCTTTGACAGGCTGTGCTTAATAAAAAGTTCGATAATTACCGAAAAAAATAACTTAAATTGGTTCCTATTTTACATAAATAGATTATCCCCTCCCCCCGATAATGATTAACTTATTTTATTAAAAATCACAAAAAAAAAAAAAAAACAGATGCAATTACAAAAGGTACAACAACTGAGAAGGTTAAAGACAACAAGATTTGCTCAAATGAAACCAATCTCTTCCAGCTGCAGACCAAAATAGATACCAACTTACATAGATTATTCTGGTCTGTGCAGTACAACAAAACCCACATATACCGGCTAATTGTTGAGGCAAATATCGCATTTGCCTCTAAAAGGATTTTATATGCAACAAATGTATAATTTGCCTCAATAGGTTCAATTATGTGCCTCTAAAAGTATAAGATATATTACAAATATATAATTTGCCACAATAGATACAACTTTGTGCCTCTTAAAGTATGATAAGATACACTACAAATATATAATTTGCCTCAATAAATACAACTATATGCCTCTAAATGTATGAGATATACTACAAATATATAATTTGCCTCCATAGCTCTAAAGTTTTGCAACTTCAAATGCTTTAATATGATTAATAAATTTTTTTTGCCTCAATAGATGTTATATTTGCCGCTATAGCTATTAGCTTTTCAATATTCATATTTCACTTTTATTTATTTTTTAAAATACGAATCCCATTATTTTAGTATACGAAACGTGAATCAAAATTAGATAAAAAAAATGAATCAAACAAGAGAGAGGGTCACACTCAATTTTTTGTGCTTTGGAATTTCCCCAACGCCTCGCACACCAAAAAATTGGAATTGTCCCTTTGCCTGACCATTCATTTCCCTGTGCCCATCCAATTTCAAGCCAAACCCACTTTTACCCTAGGGCTCAACTCGTTTACCCCAGGAGAATAAATTAAACTTCCACAGCCGGCCAACCACCTTCTCTTCTTGCTTCTTCCTTCTCAATTCTCTCTAAAACTACTTAACCAAACCCCAAATATCTCCGCCCTCTCCCTCAAAATCATAATCTCAATCTCGGGTCCGCTAATCCCGTCCACTAATCGCTCTCATCTACCTCTTCCTCAAAACCCCAACCCTAATCTCTCGATCGCTCTGCTTTACCTCTGCCTCAAAAATTCGAGGAAGATCGGCGATGATTACTTAGACGAAACGGCGAAGACTCGGAGATTATTTGGGTTTGCTGGGACCAGGCGACGATGACCAGAAGCGTAAGTTGAGGAGCCCAATTTTTCTTCTATCTGCCGGTGACCAGTGAGAAGATATGGTGTCATTTCTCGGCAGTGTTTGGGGTAGATTCCGACAGCTTGATATGTTCTTTTGAGTAGGGATGCTTGACGGCGGATTTAGAAGGGTTGTTTGTGTGGAGCTTGCGTTTAGAGGCGGAGACGATTTAGGAGACCAATCTGGCGACGAGCAGCCTAGATGGAGATTAACAGCCAACGAGCCAGCCTCTGCCTTCTCTGGCGACAAAAAGGATTTGGGCGACAAATCTATCTAGAGAGCGCATAAACGACGCTGGAAGGATTTGTGTGGTTGATCTGGAAACTTAGATATTTCCTTTATGTATGTTAGCCATATTGATGTCTTATACTGTAATGTTTTAAGTTTAGTCTGGAATACGCATACTATGATATTGGGGAGAATTCTTTTATTTTATGAACGATATTGGGGAGATTTTCTTCTACTGTACTCTCCGTTTTACAATAAAAATTAATTAATAAATATTCAATATTAGTATTTTATAATTGGTATATACTGAGTTTAAAAATACAGAAGTTACAAATTATTTTTCATAAGAGAAAAATGTAAATTAAAATTTTTATATTTAAAATTATTTTTCATAAGAGAAAAATGTAAATTAAAATTTTTATATTTAAAATTCCAGTAGCTAATATTGGAAATAGTATTTATTTATCTCTTAAATATATCATTTACAGGCAGATGTTTTAGTTTTCATAGATGATTTTAGAGGCAGCTATGCGTGACTCTAATATTAGATATAAAGGCAAACAAAAGAGTGCATTAGCGGCTAAAATATTAGTTGCACATTTTTTTTAAATAGCAACAAATAGTATATGCCTCTATATATGCTTTATAAAGCTATATCAACTGAAGTATTTGAGGCAAATGTATTATTCGTCTCTAAATGTATATAAAGGCAAAAAAATGATTTATAGAGGCACTGACATTAACTTACAGTTCTAAAAAAGGTTACATTTTCATACCTATTAGTTCTTCCATACATTTAGTATCTAAATTTTTTCATGTAATCTCATCAACCTGTCACTGAAATTAACTTACAGTTCTAAAAATCCCTACATTTTCATACCTATTAGTTCTTCCATACATTTAGTATCTAAAATTCTGACATCTTATAAACATATCTTATCTTATACTATCACATATTTCAAATCATTGGTTGCTAATATGAACTTGAAATTGTACTTAAATATGTACTTGAAATCCACCTTGTATATTAAGAAAAGAATTCAAGTGTTACATTTATTTAGTATCTAAACGAAAGATTTGAACATTGTCTAAATTTCAAATTTCAAATCCAAACCATCGGCTAAAATACCTCGGATACCACTTAAGTTTCAGAATTGGGGCATGCATACCACTTAAGTTTGAATAGGGCGTCGGGTACCACTGAACTTTATTATTTGTGCACCCGGTACCACTTAAGTTTAATGTTAAGTGCATTCCGTTAAAGTTAACAGAATATTCTTGGAATATTCTGTTTTCTAAATTTCTTAATTGGTCCTTCTACTTTTCTTATTGTAAAAAATCATTTTTGACTTATGAAAAACATCAATTTTTATTATTTAATTGGTATCCTCTTTTGAAAACTTGATACCAAATTAATTTATGAATAGAAAATTTAAAATTAATATTATTATAAGTATTTTCAATTATTATTATGTTTTCTAATAATTGAATTATTCTCCTTTTTTTTTGAAGATTTTGATACCAAACCAATTTTTGAATAGAAAATGTACAATCAATTATCATTATAAGTACTTTAAATTACCATTATGTGTTATAATA